GGCTGTGCCGCTTGTCTGTGTAGACGTGACTGCAGTGAGCCCGCGTGGACACAGGCTTCGTGCCTCCCATAAATATGCAGGAGCGGCGCTGCCGTTCGCCCGGCTGGTCTCGAGTTTCGAGGCGCCTCCTTCCTGCTTGCCTAGTGCAGGCTCCAGGCTCCACCCCGCCACGGGCACAGGGCGCCCCCGTGCCCGCGGTTTCCTGTCTTGAGGATGGCCACCCCCACCGTGGGTACGCGCCTGGTCCTGGCTGGGGCAGGTGGGCCGCTGGCAGGGCCTGCGCCTGGCCGTCCCTCCTGCTGGCGCTGGCCCCGTGGGCCAAGCCCGAAGGGGTATTTGCATCCCGTGGCGCCCCGTGGGTTCTGCAAGGCTGACCACTCTCCGGTGTTGGCTGCACCACCGAGGACGCCGCCTGAGGCCTTGGGTCTCTGGCCCAAGCAGCGGTCCCGTGTCCTGGGACCTCACTGGCCGCCCGCGGGTCGCTCTGCCCTCAGATCTGGAGGGAGAGATGCAGGGACTCAAGTGTGGGGACAATCTCAATTCAGGGTGGTCCCCAGCCCTGCCCTGTGTGGCACGGCGGGGGCGCCCACGTCTGGCGTCGGCACTGAGGGGTCCCGTTCTGTCCGCAGTGCTGAGCCTGCAGGACCTGTGCTGCCGGGCCGTGGTGTCCTGCACGCCTGTGCACCTGGTGGACAAGCTGCCGCTCCCCATGGCCCTGAGGGGCCGCCTCAAGTCCTTCTCCATGGCCAATGGCCTCAACGCCCGGATGATGCACGGCCGCTCCTACGCGGTGGCTGCCAGCCACACCCACAAGAGGGGCGGCCTGCGCAGGGCCAAGGCCCCGGGGCCGCCACAGAGCCCGCCCAGGCCCGGCACCTGGGGCGGCTGCAAAGTGTCCCGAGGAGGTGGCGGGAGGGGCAGCCCCTGCCCCCGCGGCTGGCCGGGCGAGCGGCCGCTCTCGTGTCCACCTGCGTCTGCAGGGGCAGGACGGGCCGCGCGAGACTGTGCCCCCCCCTTCAAACCCACGTGAGCAGAGACGCCGGCGTGGGGGCGCGGGGGCCCAGCCCGTGGGGACGCCCTGAGACGGCTTTGCTGTGTGATCGCCACGTCTGGGGCTGAAGTGCCTTAGATGCATGTTTTTCCGCGCGTGGACTTATTTTGTACACAACGCTCCAGCAGTCACGAAGCTAAGGGGAGGAAATGCCAAAGACACCTCTGCGCCTGGGTGCTGCCGCCGCTGGGCGGCTCCCCATGAGATACCATCTCACACCAGTGAGAATGGCACATATTAAAAAAACAAGCAACAACAAATGCTGGCGAGGGTGTGGAGAAAAAGGAACTCTCCTGCCCTGCAGGTGGGAGTGCAAACTGGACCCACCACTGTGGAGAGCTGTGTGGAGATTTCTGGACCTACTAAACATCGAGCTTCCATAGGATCCAGCAATTCCACTCCTAGGGATTTACCCAGAGGACAGAAACATCAATTCCAAGGGGCACCTGCACCCCTATGTTTACAGCAGCACTGTTTACAATAGCTAAGCTCTGGAAGCAGCCCAAAGGCCCCAAAATAGATGCTGGATCAAGAAGATGTGGTCCATACACACCATGGAATATTACTCAGCCATCAAAAAAGATAAACACATGCCATTTGCAGCAACATGGATGGCGCTGGAAGGGATCATGCTCAGCGAAATAAGCCAGGAAGAAAAAGAAAAATCCCGGATGGTCTCACTCATAGCAGGAATCTAGAAAACCTAAATAAGGGACCAGGAAAATGAATAACTATAAGAAAGTGAAAATCAGAATCAACAAAAAACTATGAACCAGAGACACTTTTTGGGGGGCAGGGGGCGGGAGGGGAGGGATTGGGGTCAGAATGGGGGGTTGCAATTGTATGGGGAATATAAAAATAAAATTTATTATTTAAAAATAAATAAATAAATCTTTAAAAACAAAACAAAACAAAACAATAAAGCAGCGCTGGGCCCGGGGCCTGGGCGCTCCCCTCGGGCTCTGTCCTCCCTGCGCCCGTGACCCTCTGCCGCCCCCTGCTCCGTGTGTCCTGGCCATCATGGTGACTCCTGCCCCGCCTCTCCTGCTCCGGGTCGCCCTGGGGCAGCCGCGCCGCCAGGGAAGGGAGGTGGCGAGAGGGGAGAGGACGGCGCCTGCAGAGCCGCAGGCCCTGGGCCCAGCTCCAGCAGGGGCAGGACCCGCGGGGCAGGCAGGAAGGTGGACCTCGCGTTCCGAGGCTGGCGGCTGATGGTGGGGGACTGGGAGGGACCCCAGTCTTGGATTAAACGGGCCTTTCCATTTCTCTTCTGGTGTTTAACCGAGGGACCCCCGGAGGCCCTGGAAGGGATCAGTTCCCCAGGGTTTGTGGAGCACGTGGGCATCCAGACTTCTGCTGGCCTCGGGTGGTGGCCGCTGGCCGGCAGCTGGGGAGCAGGGAGACCCCACCTGAGCCTCTGGAGGCCCCCGCGCCACACCTAGCCCTGACTCGGGCCTGGAGCGCAGGTCCCAGCTGCCCACCTGGCGGTTGGTGCTGGAGCCCGGGGCCCAGGAAGCAGGCGAGTCTCGGCGGGAAAGGCAAGCAGAGGAGCGAGTCTGTGAGGTGAGCAGCGCGGACACACGCGCCGTGGGGGAGACACAGGAGGCCGCGGGGCGCGGTCAGGCCGGAGGAACCCCCGGGGCTCCTCAGCAGGGCCCTGGCTGCGGCCGCGTCCAGGGCGTGAGCTGGACACAGAACGCCGGGCCCGGGAGTGGGGCCTCGCCTCACGCCGCCTGTGGGGCCTCGCGGCCCGGGTGACGGTGGCGGCCGCCGCGGCGCTCCCCAGCCCTGGGGTCCGAGCAGGACAAGCGGCCGGCCTGGGGGTGGCGCGGCGCCCTGGCCGCAGCCCCTCGCCGCTCGCGCGGACGGCATGAGGCGGGCCCGGGGGCCGGGCCGGGGCCGCGCAGGCCTGAGGCCTTGACCGGGCTCCCGGCCGCGCGGCGCTGTGGCTGCGGGGGGCCGGCGCGCCAGCCGGGCCGGGCGGGCGACGGTGTTTCTGGCACTGAAGAGAGCTGGGCCCCCCCCCCCCGCGCCCCGCGAGCCCCGCGAGCCCCGCGAGCCCCGCGCGGGCCGGACATCACAGCCGCGGGAGAGCCGTGTGCCCCCGCCCGCGCCCCGGCGCGCCCCGGCCCGTCTGCGAACTGGCGCGCTGAGGGGTCGGTCCCCGGCGGCTCCCCGCGGGCGGCTCCCCGCGGGCGGCTCCCTCACGCGCCCCGCGCCCGGGGCAGGCGGCCCTGCGGCTCCGGCGCCGGCGGGTGTGGTGGCGGGAGCGCCGCCCGCCTCCCCGCTGCGGCCCCGCCCGCCGGCCCCTCGCGCTCGTTTTCCGGCCCTGAGGACTCGGGCCCGGGAGGGGCGCCGGCTGGCCGGCGGGCGCCTGTGGCTCCCGGGGTCCGGGGGTCCCGGCCGGCCTGCGCCCCGCCCTCCGAGCCCGGGCGAGGCCCTGCCCGGGGAGCCCCGCCGCCTCTGCAGCCGGCCGCGGGCGCGGGCACCCCAGGCCGCGCACCCCCGAGGCCGCGCACCCCCAGGCCGCGCACCCCCGAGGCCGCGCACCCCCAGGCCGCGCACCCCAGGCCGCGCACCCCCGAGGCCGCGCACCCCCGAGGCCGGGCACCCCCGAGGCCGGGCACCCCCGAGGCCGGGCACCCCCGAGGCCGCGCACCCCCGAGGCCGGGCACCCCCGAGGCCGCGCCCCCGAGGCCGGGCACCCCCGAGGCCGGGCACCCCCGAGGCCGGGCACCCCCGAGGCCGGGCACCCCGAGGCCGCGCACCCCCGAGGCCGCGCACCCCCGAGGCCGGCACCCCCGAGGCCGCGCACCCCCGAGGCCGCGCCGAGGCCGCGCACCCCAGGCCGCGCACCCCGAGGCCGGCACCCCCGCGCACCCCCGAGGCCGCGCACCCCCAGGCCGGCACCCCGGCGCACCGGGCCCGAAACCGCGCACCCCCGAGGCCGGGACCCCCGAGGCCGCGCAGCCGGGCCCCCGAGGCCGGGCGACCCCCGAGGCCGGGGCGCGACCCCCGAGGCCGGGCACCCCCGAGGCCGGGCCCCCGAGGCCGCGCCCCCGACCCCCGCCGCACCCCCGAGGCCGCGCACCCCCGAGGCCGCGCACCCCCGAGGCCGCGCACCCCCGACCCCCGAGGCCGCGCACCCCCGAGGCCGCGCTCCCCGAGGCCGCGCGAGGCCCCCCAGGCCGCGCACCCCCGAGGCCGGGCCCCCGAGGCCGCGCACCCCCGAGGCCGCGCACCCCCGAGGCCGCGCTCCCCCGAGGCCGCGCACCCCCAGGCCGCGCACCCCCAGGCCGGGCACCCCCGAGTCCGCGCACCCCCGAGGCCGAGCACCCCCAGGCCGCGCACCCCGCGCGGGCGCTTCACTCGGGCTGTTCCCAGCGGATGAAACACGCGTGAAAAAAGGCTCTGGCCGCGCCCTCGGCACCTGCCTCCCGGAGAGCTCGAGCCGCGTGGGGCGTGGGCCCAGCGGGCGCCGGGGGCGGCGGCACCCGGTCCTCCGACGCCGCCTCCAGGGCCCGGGCCTCGGGGTGCTGGACCCGGCAGAGGCCCGGCCCCGCCCCCGCAAGCAGGCCCCGCCCCGACTCCGCCCCTCGGACACCGGCCCCGCCCCAGAGGGAGGCCCCGCCCCATCGGGCCCCGCCCCAACTCCGCCCCGGGCCCCGCCCACAGAGCGCAGGTCCCGCCCCCGAGCTCCGGGCACGCTCTTCCGCCCCGAATACCCGACCGCCGAGCGCCCCGCCCCGCCCAGATCCCCGCCCGCCTAGCGCCGGCCCCGCCCCCAGGCCGCGTCCGCCGAGCCCCGCCCCCGCGCCGCCGCGATCGCGCTGTCGGCGCTCCCTCCGCCCTGCGCTCGCGGTGGAGGCGCTCGGCGCTCGGCGGCGGCGGCGGCGGCCTGGCTGCGCGCGCACGCACGCCCGCCCCTCGCTTCCGGCCGCCGCGGCCGAGCGCCCGTCGCGACTGCGGCCCCTCCCGGCCCGGCGCTGCGGGCCGAGGCGGCGCCATGAACCTCCTGCCGTGCAACCCCCACGGCAACGGGCTGCTCTACGCCGGCTTCAACCAGGACCACGGTGAGGCCGCCGCGGGCGCCAGGGCCCCGCCGTCCCCCGCCTGCCCGGCCCCGGCCCCGGCCCGGAGCCCCGCCCCGCCCCGCCCCGATCCCGGCCCGGAGCCCCGACCCGCCTTGACCCCGGCCCGGAGCCCCCGGTCCCGGCCCGGAGCCCCCGATCCCGGCCCCGAGCCCCGACCCGCCTCGATCCCGGCCCGGAGCCCCCGGTCCCGGCCCGGAGCCCCCGATCCCGGCCCGGAGCCCCGCCCCGCCCCGATCCCGACCCGGAGCCCCCGATCCCGGCCCGGAGCCCCCGGTCCCGGCCCGGAGCCCCGACCCGCCTCGATCCCGAACCGGAGCCCCCGGTCCCGGCCCGGAGCCCCGACCCGCCTCGATCCCGGCCCGGAGCCCCCGGTCCCGGCCCGGAGCCCCTACACGCCTCGATCCCGGCCCGGAGCCCCCGATCCCGGCCCGGAGCCCCGACCCGCCTCGATCCCGACCCGGAGCCCCCGATCCCGGCCCGGAGCCCCCGATCCCGGCCCGGAGCCCCGCCCCGCCCCGATCCCGGCTCGGAGCCCCCGATCCCTCCCCGGAGCCCCCGATTTCGTCCCGGAGCCCCCGATTCCGGCCCGGAGCCCCGCCCCGCCCCCGACCCGGAGCCTCCGATCCCTGCCCGGAGCCCCCAATCCCGGCCAGGAGCCCCGACCCGCCTCAATCCGGCCTGGAGCCCCCGATCCCGGCCCGGAGCCCCGACCGCCCCTATCCTCGCTGGAGCCTCCGATTCTCCCCCAACCCGGCCCGAGCCCCGACCTGAACGCCTGCCCTCCCCAACCCTGCCCCACAGTCCCCGACCTGCAGGGCCTCCCCCGCCCCGACTCCGAGCCGCAGGGCTGGAATCCTGGGCCCTCCTGGTTCCACCGGGTGGGCGTTCAGGCCTGGAGGCCGGGGTCCCCCAGAGCCAGCAGTTGGGGCCTGCGGGCTTTCGCAGCCAAGCGGGGAGGGGCGCGCCGTCCCCCCGGGGAGGGACCCTCAGGGACAGGCTGCCAGACCCACCTGTTGGCTTCCAGGGGAGCCGGAGGGCGGCGGGGTGCTGCCTGGGCTCACGGGAGAGCAGGCAGAGCCCGCTGGGCTGGAGCCAGGCCGGGCGGCCTGGGGGCTGTCCAGCCGGCGGCCTTGGCCCTTGAAGGCAGGGGCGGCCGCGCCATGAGAATCAGGCTTTCCTGAGAGGAGGCAGGTGGTGGCGAGAGTGTGAAACAGGCAGAAGCGAAAATCGTAGTGACCTGCGGTCACTGGAGCCGGAGGAGGAATCTGTCTCACCAGGCGTCGCGGGAGGCCGCGGGCTGCTGAGGAAACCAGCGGCGCTCGTAATGTCTCAATAAAGATTTCATCAAGACTGTTCTGAAGACACGGCTTTGTCTTAGCGGACGTGTTTCAGTCGCCTGGAAACTGCCCTTTCGTAAAGCAGCCCGTGCCGCTGCAGCCCGGCGGAGCCCGCGGTGGGAGAGACAGATGACCCGGCTTCTGGGCACCTGCCCCTGAAGCGCCTGCTGCCTGGTTTCGCCCTCACTGCCCCCGCAGCCACTTTCCAAGAGGCGTGGCCTCGTCTCACGCTGGGACGGGGTTGTCTCCTCCCAGAACCTCAAGAGGGCCCGGGGGTCTTCCCGGCCCGGGGTCCTGCTGGCCAGGCCGGCTGCGTCTGCACGTGGTCCGGGGCGGGGGTACTGTTCCCCAGTCCCACGGCCCAGCCTGTGGTCAGCTGTTGGGCTGAGGGTTAAACAGCAGAGATGAGGGGATTGATGCCGCATGACAACCAAGTAAATCTGGTTGATCAAATCAAATAAGAAGTAGCATGGGTGCCGCCTCCCCCTAGAAAGTGGATTTTACGTTTGCTTCTGGCTTTGTCCTTCAGCGGGGAGCAGTGAGCCCCGCCGCGCAGGGCTGGTCTGAGGCCGCTCGGCCGACAGTGTCTCTTATGTGAGGGCCAGGACTGGTAACCATCCTGCCGGGGGCGACTGCTGCCCTCCCAGCCGCCCCGTGCGGCCCCCCACCCCCTGCATGGCTGAGCCGGCCTCTTGGGCCACGTGCTTCCAGGGGCGTCTGCAGCTGTCACTGCGTCTCCCAGACGCTGGCGTCCATCGGGCATTGAGCCTGGCCTCACTCCTCTGCCTGCCTTTCCCTGCAGGCCGCTCGGTCTCTCATACACACACACACACACACACACACACACTCGGTCTCTCATACACACGCACGCACGCACGCACGCACGCACGCACGCACGCACGCACGCACGCACGCGCGCGGCCTCCCTGGGGAGAGGCCTTCCTCTAGGGGATCCCCGAAGCAGCATTCTGGTTCCTGGGCTCAGATTACGGAGTGGTCGGAGAGGGGCCGCGCGAGTGCATCTCAGAGCCGGAGAGGTGACGCAGAGGGTGTCCCCCACGCGCTGGGGTGACTGAGTTCTTGTGTTTGTCATGTTCTGTGGTTTAAAAATTAACTTGGAAAAAACACAAGCGTGCTCCCCACCTGGCTGGCGGCCGACAGGACAGAATGGTGGGCCCGAGCCGGGGCGGCCGGGGCCGGGCGTGGAGAGCGGGTTCGGAACGGAAGGCCAGTGGCAAGAGGCACGAGGCGCGTGGGCCCCGGTGGAGGCTGGGTGGAGCGGAGCCTGGCCGGCGGGGACACCACGAAGGGCGCTGGGTGCCGAGCGAGCATGGGGAGAACCCGCCTTCGAGGCGCCTGCGGGCTGGGGCCTACGCCGGGACTGACGGGTCTCTGTCCCGCTGCAGGATGCTTCGCGTGCGGCATGGAGAATGGCTTCCGGGTCTACAACACCGATCCGCTGAAAGAGAAAGAGAAGCAAGGTAGGGTGCCAGCGCCACCCCGTCAGTGCGGGCAGGCGGGCGGGCGGCTGTCCTGGGGCGCCCCAGGCCGGGCGGCTGTGTTCCTGCGCGCTACTGCCCGGCTGCGCCAAGTGGTGCTGCCCGGGGCCGGGCCGCCCGTGTGTCCGCGGTCAGCGGACTCTGCTGTCCCCATGAGACACGGCGCAGTCCCCTCCCTGAGAGGCCTCCCGGGGCGATCCCGGGCGTCTGGATGATGCTGGCACGGCCCTGCGGGATCGGACTCGCGGTGGAGAAACGCGGCAGCGGTGGCCCTTTTTCCAGGGAAACGATGATATTGTGGGCGGACGTCCCCAGCCTGTCCATTTTCTTCGGCTACGTGTCCCCGGCCTGGCGGCGGTCATGTTCCTGGGTGGGCGTCGTGTCCTCTGCACGGGGAGGTCGCGCCAGGCGCCACCAGCAGCCCCCACCCCACCCAGCCGGGGACTCGCCGCGTGGGGTTTCAGAGTGGCTGGGGCGACGGCGCCCCTGCCAGGGGACCCTCCCCTGCAGCCCGGCTTGTCCAGAGAGGCCCTCGCGCACATCGGGGGGCACCTGCAGGCATAGGCTGTCCTGGTCCCTGCACGCAGGCCCCGGCCACCGCCTCAGAGCTGGACGCAGCGCCACCTGTGAGGCTGCCGGGGCCTCGGTGCATCCCGCCTCTGCCCCGCCGGGGGGCCAGGGTGGCGGCAGCCGCCTCCTCGGGCCATCATGGGACGGGTGGGCGAGAGGAGTGGGGACGGGCCGGCTGCCTGTCCTGTGCCCCCTTCTCGTGCGGGCCCCGGCGCCCCCCGACCGCCCGGCTTCGGCGGCACTGCGCGGTGAGGATGGGTCACAGGAACCCCCGACCGCCAGCCTTGGGGTTCAGGACGCTCGTCCCTTAGATTAGCCCAGGCACCGGGAGTGGCAGAGAGACGCCGCCGTCAAGGCTGTGCCGCAGCAGCTCCCGGCCAGGGCGGCTTAGAGATGTGAGCGGGGCGTCTGGAAGGCCCCGTCCAGGACCGCCTGCACGTGCGTCTCCTGTGCCGGTGCCTGTCCCGGCCCCCATGGCGGCCCAGCAGCGCCCGCCCACACCCACGCACCGGTCAGTCTGCGGTGCTGGGCTCTGCGGCCGTGCCTGGGGTGACCGTGGCCCTGAGGAGCCCTGCCCAGGCGTGGGGAGGCCTGTGCATCCCGCGGGTGGGAGCTGGGCCCAGCCCCGGCCCATCCCCACCGAGTGGACCGCAGGGGCCTCGACATCAGCCTGACCGAGCCTGAGGCCCCGCCTGACCTAGCCCTGCCTGCGGGGGCAGCGCACCGGGTGCCGCCGTCACCCAACGGCCAGCAGAGGGACAGCCACAGCGTGGGCTTCAGGTTGTAGCACCCCAGAGCACCCAAGCCCTGCCCTGTGGTGTGGGCACCAGAGCACAGTGCCCGAGGTGGCCACAGCTGGAGCTGCTAGCACAGCCAGACCGCTCCCCCCCCGCCCCCGACCCCCACGCACCCTGGACCCTCCTTGTGCCCGGCCAGGCTAGGGAGGAGTCAGGCCTGGCTGGACATCTCACCTCCAAGCCGCCGGGTGGAGGTGGGGCAGGTGGCCCCCCGGGGCCCAGACTGCTCTCCCCGGGAGCACGTCCGTTGTCTCCTGCTGCCTCCCCCAGATTCCTGCGCGGCCCTGAGCCTTGCAGACTGGAGGGGGGAGGCCGAAGAAACCCGGAGAACAGGCCAGCACAGCTTCTGTGTTAAAGCACTAGCGAGCTGGGCCTCCCCGGGGGCGCAGCGGCTGAGCGCTGGGCTGCGAGGCTGCCCGCAGCCTCTGCGGCGCCGGTTCGATCCCCGGCTGCTCCCCGGCCACCGGAGGAGGGTCCCGCATGGCGCGCAGACCCCTCCTGCCGCCCGCTGCTCCCCTCCCAGTGTCCTTCGGTCCTTCTGCCTGCTCTGCTCCCCGCTCTGGCTCTGGGGAATCCTCTCACCCTCCCGCGCTTCTGACTGTGCCCAGTGCTTGTGTAAATAAATAAATAAATCTTTAAAACAAAAAAAAAATATTAAAAAATAAAAAAGCACTAGCGAGCTTCCTCAGAGTCTGGTTCTGCTGCACCTTCCAATGTTGATTCCGTGTATCTTGTGGTGGCCGCCTTAGGGCCTTGTGTGCGCATCGCTGAGGGGGGACGCGAGGGGCCAGGGTTGGGGTGCGGAGGCCGGGGCCTCACTCCGGCCTGGAGTGTGACGTGTTCGCGTTTCTGTCTGTCACGTGGACACAGACTGCTTTTTAATGTTGTTTCAGAGTTCCTGGAAGGAGGCGTGGGCCACGTTGAAATGTTATTTCGCTGCAACTACTTGGCATTAGTTGGTGGAGGGAAAAAGCCCAAATATCCCCCGAACAAAGGTGAGGAGCCGCGCGGGCCGTAACTCTCGTAGAAACACTGTGACGAGCAAGAGAGCCAGAGGCTGTGCAGACCTACGGGAAAGCAAGATTCTAATAGGGAATTCTGAGTGAGGCTTAAATTTACTTTCTCTGTCCGGTGCCAAAGGCAGCTAGAAAAGGAAACCGGTTTGAGCTTTTCTAACATTAAAAATACCCTCCTCGGGCCTCCCTGGTGGCGCAGCGGGTTGAGCGCAGCGCTGGGGCTGTCTGCAGCTCTGTGGCGCGGGTTCCATCCCGCCCGGCTGGGAAGATTCCCACATGGCGCGCAGACCTCCCGTCTCCCCGCTGCTCCCCTCAACAGTGTCTTCGGGCCGTCTGCCTGCTCTGCTCCCCGCTCTGTCTCTGGTGAATCCTCCCACCCTCCCGCGCCTCTGGCCTGTACCCCAGCTCTTGTATAAATAAAATAAATCTTAAAAAAAAAAAAATCCTCCTCAGCGTGATCCAAACGCTGGGTCTCAAGCTTAACACCCGAGGACACGTGCGGCCGAGGCGTGAGGAGCTGGCCTGGGCAGACGGGCTCCGGCTGGGGCTAGTGCGGCCTTGGAGGGAGGGGCTGGGATGAGCCAGCACGGGGACACCCCTGGGGAGGCTGGCCCTGGGCCCGTGGGCGTCGTGCTCTGGTCACGGTCAGAGCTGGCCGGGTGAGCACAGGGTGCCGGGCGGGAGGAGGTGCCGGGCGGCGCGTCTTGATGTGAGTTGTGGGTCCACGGCCTGTTCTGGCCTAACCTCCACCGGGTCCAGCCTCCAGGCGCCCCGGTCATGGGCCGGGCTCTCCTGGGTGGTGCCTCATCCGCGCCGGGCCACCCTGCCCGGCCCATGGGCGCAGCTTGGGTCGTCCGAGTCACCTCGGCCTGGCGCACAGATGGCCGCAGGGGAGGGGTGGAGAGGCAGCAGGAGGGCGGCTCCTAGTCTCCCTGGGGGCCGTCTCGGCCCCTCCAGCGCCCTCCTCAGCATGGCCACGGGGGCGGGGGGCAGGGGGTACGGGGCTAGCTCGGGCTCCTGTGTTGACGCTGCCCCCGCCCCCGCCCCAGTGATGATCTGGGACGACCTGAAGAAGAAGACGGTCATCGAGATCGAGTTCTCCACGGAGGTGAAGGCCGTGAAGCTGCGGCGAGACCGGTGGGTGGCGGCCCCTGGCTGGAGGGTGCCCTCGCCGCGCTGGAGGGGCCGTCTGGCGGGGCGCGAGTGTGTCCGCCAGGGCAGGGCGGGCAGGGCGGCCGCGGAGGGGCCTTTCGTGTGTGGGCGTTGGTATGTTTCCGCATCTCAAAAACGAAAAAAAACCAGAACCTGGAGTTTGCTCTTGGGGCTCGGCTCTTACCGTTTTCTTCTTCCAGGATCGTGGTGGTTCTGGATTCCATGATCAAGGTGTTCACGTTCACGCACAACCCCCACCAGCTGCACGTGTTCGAGACCTGCTACAACCCCAAAGGTGAGGCCCGGCGGGGGCGTCCGCCCAGCACGCCTCGGCCCCACCCACCAGGGGCCTGGCCCCAGTGTCTGCGGGCGCCACGCTAGTCCCGCCCGCAGGAGACGATGGCTGAGGGGCCCCGGCCCTTGGGCTCCGACCGGCAGCGAATGCCCTCTGGGTTTCCTGTCCGGCCAGTGATGTCTCCAGGCTGGCACCGTGACTTCTTAGAGAACGTGAGGCCGTTCCAGCACCTGCGCCTTTGCTCACACTGCTGCCGGCTGGGTGGGGTCTGGCTGGCTCTCGCCTGCCCCGTGCCCGGCGCTGCTGCCCATGCGAGTCCAGGCCTCTGCCCGCTGCTGTCAGCTCCGCGCGGACCCGGCGGGTGGCCCTCAGCAGAGGCCCTGCTAGGCGCGTCCGGTGTGCATGGCCGCGGGTCTGGCGCAGGCCAGAGGGGGTCTCGCTGCGGGGAGTGGGGTTGCAGGGACGCCGGGCCTGACGGGGTCGCGGGGCCTGTGCAGGCCTCTGTGTCCTGTGCCCGAACAGCAACAACTCTCTCCTGGCCTTCCCGGGGACGCACACCGGCCACGTGCAGCTGGTCGACCTGGCCAGCACGGAGAAGCCGCCCGTGGACATCCCCGCCCACGAGGGCGTCCTGAGCTGCATTGCGCTCAACCTGCAGGGGACCAGGATCGCCACCGCGTCCGAGAAAGTGAGCCCAGGCTCTAGCCCGCGGCGTGGGCGGCGCGGCCCCTGGGGGGCTCTCGGGTCACCCAGAGCCCTCGTAGTGACCCAGGGCGGGGGAGGGTGTTGGGTGAACGGGGTGAGCTGGGGAAAGGGTGTGTGGCCGGCGGGCGTGGGGTGCGACTCGTTCCACGAGGATAACACAGACGTCCCCTTCCCTGTCTTTCCAAGGGGACCCTTATAAGAATATTTGATACTTCATCAGGGCACTTGATCCAGGAGCTGCGAAGGGGCTCTCAGGCCGCCAATATCTACTGGTAAGACCTGCCGCTGGGGCCTGTGCCCCGTCATCCCTGAGCTGAGCACCCGTCACCTCCCGGGCCCACTCCGCCGGGGCCCTACCCCACTCCACCCCGGGCAGAGGCTCAGGGGCCCCAGAGGGCGTGTCTGTAGCAGCTGCCGCCTGAGAGCCCCCCACGAGGAGGCGCTGGCAGCCCGGGGCTGAGGGGGAGTCCCGCGCCCAGAGGCCAGCCTTGCCCTTGTGTGCTGCCCCCTCTGTGCTGGAAAGGGGGTGCTTGCCGTGGCTGTTGAGGGGCAGGAGGGGTGCAGGCCTGGGCGCGGCTCGCGGTCCCCAGGCCGAGCGCAGCCCGTCTCTCGCAGCATCAACTTCAACCAGGACGCGTCCCTCATCTGCGTGTCCAGCGACCACGGGACCGTGCACGTCTTCGCGGCCGAGGACCCCAAGAGGAACAAACAGTCCAGGTAGGGCTCAGGGCGGGAGGCCCGTCTGGCATGGGGTCCCCTCCCCGGCTGCCCAGGCTCAGCTCCAGGGCGGCGGCAGCAGTGGGGCCGCCCCGCGGGGGGGCTTAGGGAGCCGTGCGCGAGAGCTCCCCGCACGCCTGGCAGCCGGTGACCTGCCCTCCCGTGTCCAGCCTGGCGTCGGCGAGCTTCCTGCCCAAGTACTTCAGCTCCAAGTGGAGCTTCTCCAAGTTCCAGGTGCCCTCGGGCTCCCCGTGCGTCTGCGCCTTCGGGACGGAGCCCAACGCCGTCATAGGTGAGCCCGGGCTGCCTGCCCCCAACCCTGCGTGGCCCTCGGGGGGCCGCGAGACGCCCCCAGTAAGCTGTGTCCTTGTGCCCAGCCATCTGCGCCGACGGCAGCTACTACAGGTTCCTGTTCAGCCCCAAGGGCGAGTGCCTCCGCGACGTCTACGCCCAGTTCCTGGAGATGACCGATGACAAGCTGTGAGGCCGCTGCGCCCAGGCCTTGCCTGCTGTCCCGTGGGCACCCGCGTCCAGCACTGGAGTGGCCACCGGGCCCCGTGGACGCTGGGCTCCGACAGCCGACGGGCTCGGGGCTGGGCTTGAGCGGGGACCCCAGGGGCCGGCGCAGCCTCCCGGGGGCCCCTCCTGTCCAGCCGCAGCATCGAGCGAGGCCAGGCTTGCGGGGCTTCCAGAGCCGGTCAGGACCCCCCTCCCGCCGGAGCCGCCTGCCGAGCGCAGACCTCACTTCTCAGCCCCCCCCGAGGAAGCGTCACGGCCTGGGCTCCCGGCTGTGAACACCCCGACCACAGCGGCCGGGCCCGGGGCCGCGTCTGTCCCGCCTGCACCGTCTGCGCTCGGCGTCCGCGTGCATGTCCCGCCCGTGTGTCCTTAATCACAAGTTTAATTTTGCACACTTACTTGTAATGCTTCTTTTAAATAAAAGTGGCTAATTTTGTTGTACCTGTCGGAGCGCACAGGAGACCCCGGGCCGGCCTCAGCCCGCCGGCCCGCTGGCCGCCACCCACATGGCACAGACTGGCTGGTCTCACCCTCACACCCCTCGAGTGTCGGGGCAGCGCGGGCCCAGCTGTCCCCCACGAGGCGGCGCCTGCAGGTGGGCCCGGGGCGTTGGCTCCGGGGAGCAGGCAGCGCTGAAGAGGCCCCGGCACACCCCGGGGTGGCTGTGAGGCCCGCGAGCCGGCCGGCTGCGTCTCAGGCAGGGCAGGGCGGAGGCTGCAGCCCACCCTCGCCCGGTGGGCACCCCCTGCAGCCCCGCCCCGGGACCAGCCGAGCTGGGTCTTCCCGGTCAGACGGGGGCAGCCCCGCGGTGTCTGCTCATTGTCTCGTTTGTAAAACTTTTTATATAATCGCCGTTGTCTTCTCGTTTTATGTTTGTTTCAACCTGGGGGCTCCTCATTCCTGCGCAGTCTGCCCTCCGGTGCTGTCCACCTCTGTGACTTCTGGTTCTGGTTCATGATTAAAACACGTTTTTCTTTGGGTTTTACTTTGTGGATGTTGTCTTCACAGCTCGCCCTCTCCGGGGTGAGCCGAGCGCCTCCGGAGGTCAGGCTGGCTGCCAGCCCCCGGCTCTGCAGGCGGGAGCCTGGACACGGGCCCAGCCAGCGCCTCCCCGCGGAGAAGCGGCTCTGCTTTGCCCGGCCCCGGCACGACACACCAAACAGCTGGACGTGCGGCCTCCGCCGGCGGCTCGGCCCGTCGCGCTGTGGCAAGTGTCAGCCCAGCGGCGCTCGGTGTGCGGGGCCGTGGGGGCCGGCCCTCGTCCACAGGGCACCCGGCCTCCTGCCCTCCGGCCGCCGCGGCGGGGCCAGCGCCTGCTGGGTGACATCAGATGAAGCTGCGGAGGGCAGTGGGGGGTGTGGGCCGGGCGCCTCCCCGAGTGGCCAGCAGCACAGAGCAGCTGCGGCTTCTGCGTCTTTGGAGAACTGTCCGTTCAAGCCCTTCGCACGGCGTGTTACGGCCAAACACACGCCCCAGGACCCACCATCTCATCCACTCTTGACGGTTGTCACTTTCGGTCCAGCCGTCCCAGTCCCGCGTCTGTGGCTTGTCCTCACCCCAGACAGGCTCCGTGTCCTCAAATCCAACCCGCAGCCCTCCCTCCGGGCGCCGCAGGGGCGGGTCTGGGGCTGCCGCCTGGGGCTGCGTGAGCCGGGCTCCGCCACGAGCATCAGGCGGGAACCGGACGCCAGGCCTCGCAGGACACGCGCTTCCCTGCTGCTGCCTCCTGCCCCGTGGCGGGAGAGTGGCTGTCTTCAGTCTCGACGCTGTCCTTGTGCACAAAACTTTGTTTCTTTTAGATTTATTTATTTATACAAGAGCTGGGGCACAGGCCAGAGGCGCGGGAGGGTGAGAGGAGTCACCAGAGACAGAGCAGGGCGCAGAACAGGCAGAATGACTGAAACACACTGCTGAGGAGCAGCGGGGAGGCAGGAGGGCTCTGCCGCGCCATGTGAGTTGCTCCCTGGCCGGTGGGGAATCGAACCCGCGCTGCAGAGGCTGTGGACAGCTCCACAGCGCTGTGCTCAACCCGCTGCGCCGCCGGGGAGGCCCAAAACATATTTTTTTAAAGATTGATTTATTTTTGCACACAAGAGCTGGGGTGCAGGCCAGAGATGAGGATTCCCCAAAGACACAGCGGGGAGCAGAACAGGCGGACCCACTGAAACCCACTGCTGAGGGGGCAGCGGGAGACAGGAGAGGGCTGCTGCGCCCTGGGGGTCGCTCCCTGGCCGGGATGGACTCGGGCTGCAGAGCCGACAGCTCCATATGCTGAGACTGACCCGTGTCACCAGGGAGGCCCAAAATGTTTTAATTTTTATGAAGCTCAGTTGATCTTCTTCTTTCCTTGCTCCTACTTGCGGAGTTAGACCTACGGGCCAGACCCGAGCTCGAGAACGTTCTTCCGATAGGGCCGCTCTGGCGCCTACGTTCAGGTCGTCGATCCACTTTGAGGCAGGCTGTGAGCTGAGGGGCGGCCGGCCTCCCTCCTCGGCGCGTGGCCGGCCCCTTCCGAAGCCTCCTCCTTCGCGTTGAATGATCTTGGGGCCGTAGTTTCTAGTCCAGGCCATGGCTGCCTCACGGTGCCCACACGTGGCGGGTCCCGCTGCCGCGTCCGCCCGTCGTCCCTGCCATGAGTCACTTTCCTCCGGCCGACCCCAGGTTGAAAAGTTGTCCTGCGTGGTTTCCGGTTGATCCGAGTTGGCCGAGCTCTGGTCGCCAGATTCGCGGCAAGTGGGGCGTGTCCAAGTGTTTCCTCTACCGTCCTGCCGCCGCCCTCCGCCCGACCGAGGTGGCTGCAGCCGAGCGCCTGTGCCGCCGGCAGGTGTTTTCTGTTCACCGGCTTCACCTCTCACGAACGCCTTTTTAAGTCCATGACTTCTGGGCCCTGGCAGGAGCGCCTGCCTCACTCCACAGGCGGCCGGACCCTTGCTGCGCCCCTTCTGTCCCGTCGGGCTGACCGCCTTCCCGGCTTCCCCGGCTGTCCCACCCTGAGCGGCTGTGCACACCCTGGGCTTTCTGCACATCGTGGCCCTCAGCCCCGTCACCACCCTCCAGCGACGCCCGCCCTCCCTCTGCGCAGCCCAGGGCCACGCCGCATCCCTGCCCCCAGCCCAGCCCCAGGCCCGACATGGCTCAGGGGCAAAGCCAGCCCGTCCTCCCACCTCTGCTGGTGCCCTCCGCCGTCCCTGCACTGTCCGGGTCCTCCGCTGGGAGGGCAGGCTCAGCCCCTGGGGTGCTGCATGCCAGAGTCTGGCCGGGCCCAAGTGGGCAGAGGAAGAAGCGGCAGGATGCCCCCAGACTGGAGGGCCCGGGAATCGCGTCTTCAGGGCCCACCCGGCCCGTGGTGATATGTGGGGTCATTAGAGGCCACCTGCGGCCCTCCTGCGCCTCTGGGCGCCGGCCCCGCCACGGGCAGCAAGAGGATGCTCAGGTGCTGAGGCCCAGCTGCCCCTGGGGGCTCTACCCGCGCTCAGGCCTGAGCCTGCTGGGGGTGGCCCACACGGGCCCCGGGCGTCTAGGTGGCCGGGGAGGGCCCGTGACCGACAACTGACCGCTCTCAAGTGCTTCTTGCCAGCCGGAGCCGCCTCCGCCCCCTCGCTGGCCTGGCCAGGCTCCTGCCGGGAGCAGTCACCTGTCCTCTACCCAGCCCAGCCGGGTGACCCCGCATTCACCGGAGCAGCCTTTCCTGTAGGACACAGGGCTGTGCCGGCGCCGCCTCTGGGCAGCAAATCTCGTGCCGCAGGAGCCATGTGCTGCGCCGGGTGGGGACGAAGCCGGCCCAGGGCCAGCTGGACCCACCCCCGCGGCGGCCCCTGGCCTGGCATCGGCCAGCTTGGGCCCGGTCACCAGCGCGGGCCTGCCCAAGGCATCGGCCGCGTGCGACCCGCAGGGTGACGGTGAGGCCCGTCCCTGACCTGCCAGCGCAGGGCGGGCACGGCCACCTCCAGACAGGCCCCGGGAGCAAGATGACAAGGACACGCTGCGCTCAATAAAAATTAATAAAAATATTTTATTGAATTTCAGGAACTTGGTATTTTTTTAAAATGTCAATTTTCGCACACAAGTCATGAGGCCCCCCAGCCCCCCCAGCATGAGGGGCAGGGCCTGGCCCAGCGCCCACATCCAGACGACACGCTTCCTTTCTGGGTCTCCGCGGACTTGGGGACGTTCCTCGTTCCTTGGGGGGCTCCACGTTTGGCAAAGATCAAAGCGAAGACGTCTCGAAAAGTCAGCCCAGAGGCCCGGGCGGCTGGGGGCAGAGCACCAGGCTGGAGCCGCGGGGCCGCGACGGGGCTCCTGGGACCGCAGAGCTGCATCCACAGGGGGGACGTGCCCGGGGCGGCGGTCCACAAACCCGGGAGTTTCTCTTGGCGGCTCCCCGAGATCCCCAAAGTCCGCGGCCAAACGAGCCGGCAGCCGGGGTGGGCTGGGGCCGCCCTCTGCTCCACATCGGCGAGCGGGGCCTCGTCTCCTCGGCGCCAGCAGAGCCTCATGACGGTGGCCCGCGGGGTCCCGGGGCTCCCTCCGGCGGGCACCCGCGGCCAAGCACGTCTCCCCTCCAGCGTCTTGTCCACTCACCTGCCGAGAGGCGGCGGCCGGGGCTGTGGCGCATGGGCCTCGGGCCGGGGCACTCGTGGGCGACCCCAGCCGGGACCAGCGCAGTCCTGAACCCGCGAGCTTCTGAGCCAGACAAACACACGTCCCAGGCGCCGCGCGCATGGCTCGTCCCCACGATGGCTTGGCTTTTGTTTTCTAAAGGGCTGAGTGACCAGTCCAGCGAGGGTGCGGTCATTTCATCATGTTTAATTCGCGTTATCTGCAGTGACACGTGACAGCCCCATCGGCGACGGACACACAATACTCAGGACAGTTATCATATTTGGTCTTTAGGTAAATAATGTTTTAAAATTGCCTAAATATACCATTCTGAGCGCTTCATTCCACCAGGAAAATACAGGGTTTTTTCCTCTTTAAAAAAAAAAATTAAATACCAAAATAACTACATTTAAATAAATAACGTTATGGTGATGACAGGTAAAAGCTCATGGTAAGGCCGCGGCCCTTGCGACCTGCTGGCTGCCCAGCCTGGCCCCAGCAGCAGGGTGGACTGTGCCGGGAGCCTGGCGAGGCCAGGGCCTGCCTCTCGGGTCTCACCTTCGTGCCTCCGAGCCGAGGAGGCCCTGCCAGGGCGGCCAGGCGTGTCCCAGGCGGCCGCCGTGCCCCCACGCGAAGGGGCCGCGGTCCTGTCCTTGCGACACACACGATACTCAGGAGACGCGTTTTCCTCGCGGGGAGGAGTCAACACCAAGAAACAAACAACCGAGGAGCGAGACGGGCGGCGGGCGCTGTCCGGGCGTGGCCACATGCAGCCCCCGGCGCCCGCCCGGGGTGGGTCCTTCCCGGCGCTGCGCGGGCCACGCCGGCGAGCAGCCCCCCCCACCCCGGACTCGAGCGGGACGGACAACGGTGACCGCGCCGGTCTGGAAACAAAGCGAGAAAACCGGCGCCCCCGCGAGGCCCCTGGGGACGCGCGTCCTGTGGCTGAGCCCCGGCGTCTGCGTGTCCGGGCGCCCCAGCAGGCCCGCCCCGCCGCGGCCGCGAGTCTTGGGGGAGGACGACGTCGGTGTCCCGGGCGCGTCGAGCTCTAAACCAAGGGCTCTGAGGCCCCCAGGTGAGGCCCCGGGGCTGAGGTGGCCGCAGGCCTCGCGGCCCCGGGGACACGCGGCGTCGCCTTCCAGCACCGGGAGTCGGTCTCCCAGAGACGGCCGCGCCCTAGTTCTGGACGCCCCTCTCCCTCCCGGCTGCCGGCGGCGCGTCCACGCTCAGGGCGATGACGAGGCTCTCGCCCTCCTCCGTCTTGACGCGCTTCAGCTCCGGCTGCTCCGACGGGTCCCCGTTCTGGCGCTTGGTGGGCAGGGAGGCCGAGGCCGAGGCGTGCGTTGCCAGCATGTGCAGGGGGCTGGCCGCCGCTGCAAAGAGACAGGGAGTCAGACCCGCGGGCCCTCGGGAGGCTGGGCCGGGGCCGGACAGGCTCGGAGCCCTCCCCGGCTGACCCCGGCGTGGCAGAGGAGGGGCCAGGCCGGACCAGTCTCCGAGCAGACATCCCCCGCCGCTGCCTCCGGGGCGCTGCCCCGCCCTCGGGCCCCCACCCCAGACGACCTGCTGGACGGCCTGCTCCGCGGCGGACAGCGCGGGGCTCAGTGCAGGGGCTGCCTGTGCTCCGCCCGAGGGGGCGCGGCCGCCACACACAAGCCCAGGCCAGGGGGGAGGGGGACACAGAACCGCGGCCTGACCCGGTTCCAGGCGCGGCAGCAGGCGCTGGGGCCTTAGGAGAGGCGGCGGCGCGTTGGCCGGGCGGCCAGTGGGCGGCACACGGTCAACCCTGCACGCCCGGCCCAGGAGTGGGGTCGCCCCGTCCAGAGCCCGGCTCAGCCATGCCCCGTGCGGCCAGTGGAGGCGGCGAGGACCGCGTCAGCTGCGACCCCAGCCCGGCCAGGACGGGCCACACGCAGCGAGGGAGACGGCGGCCAGGTTGGGCCGCGGGCAGCAGGGCCTGCGGTCTCGGGGGAGCAGCACGAGCAGCCCCAGGAGAGGGCCTGCCACACACTGGCCCCGGCCTGGCCTCCAGGTCCCTCCCGCAGTTGAAGACCCTGACCCGCCCACTGGCGCCGCCGTGACACCCCGGCGCCGGCCCGCGAGGACACGGCAGGGCAGCCGCACGCGACCCCGACAGGCCCCCCACCGCCCGCCGCGCTCAGCCTGCTGAAGGTCACACTGGCGCCCACGGGCTCGGCCCGGGCACGCCGGGACAGCTCGGGGTGTGAAGCCAGCCAGCGCGCTGCACCACATCGGAGAGCGTGGAGGGAAAACCACGCAACGCAGAAAAGGCATCTCACCAAGTGCAACATCCTCTCCCGACAGAATTTCCCAGCGAACCAGGAACACGGGGAAACGCTGACCGAACGAGGTCGTCTGCGTCAGCACCGGGCCCCCGCGTGACGGCCTGGACTCTCCCTCCCGAGACCAGGGCAGGACGAGGACGCCCGCCGGCCGGCAGTGCCCACGGGCGCCCCCCGCCAGGAGGAGGAAGGGAGGGAAGCACAGCGCCTGGAGCGGAGCCATCACCGCCGGCGCGCCCGGGGCCGCAGACAGGAGAGCGGACGCGCCGGCCTGACGGGCCGAGCAGGAGGCGGAGAAACAATTCCATCAGGAAAAACATCAAAAGGGATCAAATAAATGTAACCAAAACGGAGTCGCTGCAAGACACACACGACGGCAAGCGCACGCTTTAAACGTGGAAGCGACCGCCCCACGCGTGCCCGCAGGCCCGGGAGACTGACGGGGGAGGTGGCCTGACTGCCCGGCACGGCCTCACGGTCCCCCGCGAACGCCCGTGCACAAGCTGCCCTGAAACGGACGTGGACTCGCGGGGCGTCCAGGACAGCCACGGCGATCCTGGCGGACTCCCTGTGTCACAGCCTCCGCCACGGCCACGGTCGCGAGCCGAGCCTGGGTGAAGGGAGGGCCAGGCACGAACGCCAGCAACACAGACCAAGAAACAGACTCGCGCGGCCGTGGCCGCCGGGCGGGGCTGGGCCCAGGCCTGTCCAGCCAGACACGCCCAAGCCCTGAGCGCGAGCCGGACAGCAAAGCTCCCAGAAGAGAGGGCGGCGGGTCCCACGGCCCCGGGCTCCGCGGTGCTCAGAAGAGGCACCAGAGGGGAGAGACCCGCCAGAACAGGGAACTCCGCGCACTCGGGCGCCGCAGGCGGGGCACAGCCGCCGAGAACGGCCGCGCATGCACCTGAGCGGGGTCTGCGTTCTGGGGACAGCGCGAGCTTCTGGAAGCAACAAGACGGACACCGGCCGAGAAGCGGCCAAAGGGCCTCGACGACACACACGAACCTGCAGCCCCAGGGAGACGCTCAGCACGGCCCATCGGGGGGGCCGCCGCGGCACACCCGAGGCCTGACGACGGCCAGCACGCATGGCAGACGCCCCCCGCCGCGGGGACACGACAGGCTCTGCAGCTCCTCCGCACGTCCCCGCGAGGTGCAGCATGTCCAGGCCGTGTTTGCAGACCAGTCCCCGCACCCCGGTGTTCAGGGCCCGCCCGAGTCCCCTCGGACGAGTAAACACCCCGAGACCACCTGGCCCGCAGGAGGGAGCTGCTGGCCCGGTTGCCGCGTGGACGGTGGTGACGGGCCTGAGCAGAGGGGGGACGGCAAACCGCCTCTCGGGGGAGGCACGAGCCAGCAAGGAGCCGTGCACCCTGGACGGGGCCTCTGCGTACCCCACGTTTGCGCTGTTTGGGAAAGCCAGGATGGGGCCTCCCCGGGGGCGCAGGGGTTGAGCGCAGCGCTGTGGAGCTGTCCGCAGCCTCTGCAGTGCTGGTCGATCCCCACCAGGCCTCGGAGCAAGCCACGAGGCGCAGCAGACCTCTCCTGTCTCCCCGCTGCTCCCCTCAGCAGTGTCTTCAGTCCGTCTGCCTGTTCTGCTCCCCGCTCTGTCTCTGGTGAATCCTCTCACCCTCCCGCGCATCTGGCCTGCACCCCAGCTCTTGTATAAACAAATCTTAAAAAAAAAAAAAAAAGCAGCCAAATGGATGCTCTGACCCCCGCGGAGTTCCGGGCAAGAGCATAAACCAGAACCACAGGCGACACCAGGCCTGCGGGCTACCGGGCCTCGTCCTCCAGACGCTGGAAAAGCCGTAGGCAAGAGGGACAGTGTCCGGGCCTAGGCGGGCACAGGGCGGGGCCGGGAGGCAGATGGACACGTGGTGCTGGGTGGTTTCCTTCTCAGAGAGCTCCGGAAAGTAATAGCGAGGGTCTGATTTTCAGAATTCACACACAGACGCCGCTTCCCTTTCCCTGGGGCGCCTTCCGAGGGGAGGCCAGAGTTACGATCACCCGCCAAGAGGCCTTCAAACCAGGTCAGGCAGTGCGCAAGTGACGCTCCGAGGAAACCACTTCCGTCCACGCCCCCCTCCTCCCGCTGCGCAGAGCACGGGACGGGGCTGCAGGTGCCAGGGCGGGAGCCGCTGGGTGGTTAATCCTGCTCCAAGCCAGAGACTCCAGGAAAATTTCACCCAATTCGAAGGCAAGTCAATAGAAGTTCCCACTAGCAGAGCATTTAAAAAGTTTTCAACGCGGCGGCTGAAGCTGGCAGGCGTCTTGGCCTTCTTCCGCGCGAGACCAGGGCTGGGGCTCCCTGGACGCCTGCTCCGGGCCGGGTGAGGGGCGCGTTCCCCTTACAACGAGCCCAGAAGCACCAGGAAACGCTCTTTGGCCGGGATTTTAATTATCGGGGTTTTGGGTTTCTAAGAACTGTGTTTTCGGCCTTAACGCACCCCGCAGTAGTAACAACTGATAAGTCAATCTCCATAGCCCCGTACATTTTCAACATTTCCACGTCTTCTGGTTGCAACAAAAAACGTGCTCAGTAGATGACTCTGACGCACGAAGGTCACGACCTCTGCGCAGACCCGGGCCTGGGCGGGCACCACGGAGCGGGAGCAGCGGCCTCGGAGCTCGCCCGCAGGGAAGACCGGTGTGGACTTGCGTCAACAACCGCTCTTTTCCCTAGTGGAAAGTCTAACTTCCTGCTTATTACACTCACGGTGACAGACACCAGGCGCCAGCTTAACCCCGAGACAGGGACGCACACGGACTTCCAGAGTCTGAGGGACAGGCTGGCTCAGAAAGGCCCCGCAGGGCCGGGTGCGAGGGCCGCAGTGAGGGCACCAGGCGGACCTTCTCCGGCGGGGACTCTGGGAGGCGCCTCGAGCGATTCCGGGGCGCTACTGTCCAGGAACGCCTGGCTCGGGCCGAGGAGGGACAGTGCAGACGCTTCTCAGTGCCGCCTGCTGCCAGCCGACCACAGCAGGTCCGCGGCACCACAACCAGCCCCAGGAACGACGCTATTCAGGGCAGGGAGGAGAGGCCCGAGCCGCCCGTGACGCCGCTGCGTGGCTCCGGGAGGAAAGCACTTTAAATGAGCAAATGGCCGCAAATTCCTCGAACTGCCCACAGGCCTCCGTGTTAGCTGGAACTTAACAACCCTCAGCCGACTGGTTCTCTCAGAGAAGGCTCTGGACCTGGCTCCTCCATCCGTGCCGGGGGAAGCAGGGTGGGGACCCGCACCCCACAGAGGTGCGAGCATGTCTCAAGGCTCTTTGGCTCAGTGGGGGCTGGAAAGTCAACGCGACCGAGATCCTGTCCTCCTCACAGGAAGCAGCGACACGGGCACAGAGCCCTCCGCTCGGATGGCAGCTTCCGCCTCCATCCCGAGTCCCGAAGGAGCCAGGCGAGTGCCGGGGAAGAGACAGCCACGGCGCGGCCCGCCAGGCCCGGGCCAGAGCTCACCGCAGAAGCCTCTTAACACCTGCTTGAGGACCCTATGTTGCTGAGCTGACTGACCAGCGGGACGCCTGCCCTTCCCGCGGCCCCCCGGCACTGGCCAGGCCCCAGGGGACTGACTCCCTGGCCCGCAGCCCCACCCGCAGTCTGCATCAGAGTGGAGACCCACACGCCGCGCCCAGCCTCTTGGGGAGAAGCTGCCCTGACCGGTAGGTGGGAACACCACAGGGCCAGACAGCAGGCTCCAGCGCCAACTGCGGGAGTCTGAGAGTGCCCAGCAGCGAGACTGGGGAAAGGGTCTGTACCCCGCTCCGGTATCTCCACATAACTCTACCGAGGGGCGCCCCACAACAGCCCATCCTCAGCCACCCCCAGGCCCATGGTTCCTGGGTTCCCTGCGGGTGGACATGCGGCGTCTTCTCGGGCGACCAACCGCAGCTGCGGTAGCAGCAGGACTGAGTGGGGGCGGGGGCCGGTACTTACCGTTGTTGCCCTGGCCGGGCACGGTGGTGGGCAGCGGCACCACGTGGGTCCCGTTCTGGGTGACAGTCTTTATGGGGAGCTGGTGCTGGCCGAGAGGGGCCTGCTGCACGAGGGTGACCGTCTGGACGGGGGCAGAGGGCGATGGCTGGAGGATGCGGCTGGCAGCGCCCAGCGTGGCGTGGCCAATTGCTGGGATGGGCTCAACTTTCACTGAAGCGGGAGAGAAGAGGCTGGGGTCACTGGGAAGCTTGTGAGCGCAGAGTCGGGGTGGGCGGCATCTGGGGCCGTGGCTCACCTCGCACTTCCCGGTGGTCACCGTTCTCCTGTGGCTCGGTCTTCGGGGAGGCCAGCACGGCCGCCTGGGCCACCACCGCCTGCCCTGCCACTGCATACGTGCTCGCGGAGGCCAGCCCGGCCACGCTGGTGACGGACACAGCTGGGATCTGGTGGACAACGTGGACGGTCTGCACGACGGGCTGCTGGGGGGTGGGGGTGGGTGCAGGGGCAGCGACGGCGTAGGCGACGGGCTTGATGGTGGGTGGCAGCGGCCGCTGCACGGCAATCAGGACGGGCTGACCGGACAAGGGCGAGCCTGTGGGGGTAGGCAGGTAAGGACACGGGAGGGGAGGGTTCCACCCCAGCCCAGCTCCCAAGAAGGCAGCCGGGTCCCCACAGCACCCGCCCCCGTTCTCAGGGAGGAGGAAACACCAGCACAGGAGGTGGGAGGAAGCCGCAGTGGGGCTGAGGACACTCGGGGCAGCGGGCCTGGCAAGGCCAGACGCACGTCCGCCAACCAACCAGGGCCACAGTGGGGCCTGCGTGGGCCGAGCCCACGCCACGTACTCAGAGGACGTTTGCCAAAGGCGGGGCAGGCGGGTCCTCGGCACCCCCGCTGCCCAAGTGAATTTCAAGACACTTCCCGTCCGCTGGATGGGGGCACCCCTCCCGCCACGCCTGGTTCTTCTGATTCATGCTGGGGGGTGGGGTTTCCAATGAAGACACCACTCAGAAATAGCTAACCTGCCCCAGGTGGCGGCCAAGGTCTCAGAAAGGGGGCTTGTTGATTCTCAGGCGTTCAACCGCCCGGGGCCCACCGGGCGCAGAGGCTGGGTGGGAAGCAGGTCCCTTCCCGAGGGCCCCCGGCCGCGCCTCACCTGGGGCACTCTGGGCAAAGCGCGCCTCGGGGATGACGGTGAGTTTGGGCTGTGGGGCGCCAGGCTCGGGCTCCGCAGGGGCTGGGGACCCTTCCCTCGACAGGCTCTCGGGTGTCTGGGCGCCGCTGGAGTGGGCGGACAGCACCCCGGCATGGTTGGGCGATGCCGGGGCGCTCCTGTGTGACCAGAGAGAAGACTTGATGAGTTGTTGTCACTCTGATGCGTGCGTGTCCAGAGGGGCAGCGTCCGTCTTTGGCCTGTCTCCTGCAGCACCCCCCCCACCGCCCCCGGGAGCGCCACAGCCAGGGCAGACAGGCAGCGGGCCTCACTGGGCTGCAGTGGTCAATTCGCAGCAGGGCAGTGCCAGGGCCAGGGCCAGGCTGGCCAGCCTCCCAGCCAGGCAGCAGGACATGTCGCTCTGCTTTTTTCTTTTAAAACAAAGTATCAATGCCGGTAGCAACGTGACCTCAGGGTCAGGCAAATTAGCTTGAGTCAATCTCGAGCTTTTCCCACTGAGAAAAAGGGACGGCGCGATCGTCCCGTCCATCAGCAAACGGGTGAGGCCACAGGCAGCGCCTGCTCGGGACGCAGGGGTCGGCACTCAGGACCCGAGCTGCCCAGGGCAACTGGAGACGAGGTGACGCCGGACACTGTCTCACCTCCCGCCCCACCCCACAGTCCGGCTTTGGTGGGTCCCCCCACGAGGGCTGCCCTCCCCTACCTGGACGAGAGTGGGCCCAGGGGGGTTCGGAAGCAAGGCACGCCCCGGGGCCGCCTCTTGCGGAAGGCCTGCTCCACCAGCTTGCTCTCAGAGGCGGGGTCGACCCTCCAGAAGGAGCCTTTGCCCGGCTCTTCCTGGGAACGTGGCACTTTGATGAAGTAGCGATTCAGAGAGAGATTGTGGCGGATCGAATTCTGAGAACATAAAAACAGGCAGAATCCGCTTGTTTCTTTGCTGGGAAGCTCCAAACCTGCCAGCTCCACCTCACCCCGTCTCGGGGACGGCTCGGCCCGGCAGCTGCTGCCACGTCCAAGGGAATTGTACCGGCGCCACGCAGAGCCCCACACGCCTCAGCCTCCACAGTTCCTCCCGAAACCCGAGTGACCGCTACCGCGGCCCTCCAAGACCAAGAGGACCTGTCAGTGCTCGCAGCCGAAGGGTGACAACGGCAGGTTAGGCCAAGGTGGGCTGGCCGCCCCGGAGTGAAGCCGCGCCAGCACCTCAGGCCCAGCCCCCGCCCTGACTCGCCCGGAGCACGGCCCGAAGCTGCCCTTCCTCCTCCTGGACAGAAATGAGGAGCTCAGCAGCAGCTCCGCAGAGAGGCGGGCGCAGGGGTGGGGTGAGGGGGTGGGCGCGCTGCACGGAGGCCGCGCTGACTGAAGGGGGCCTGCCCCAGCAGCCACAGACGGGCCCAGTTTGCCTGGACGGTTCTGCTCCTCCCTTGCACACGCTCTCTGATGCGCAGCCGCACTCTCACAGACGGACACACACGCAGCGGGAGACCTGCCAGCCCCAGCGCTCGCGCCACTGCCAAGGGTAAGAGCCCAGCAGCGGAGGGGGAGCTGCTCTGGTGTTACACACCCGCGGCCTGCAGCGGAGGGGGAGCTGCTCTGGTGTTACACACCCGCGGCCTGCACGCGACTCAAGACCCTCACAGAGGAACACTCAAGACTGAGTCGGTCTTGATTATGGTCTCTGGAAGCATCGGGGCCCCGCAGAGTCCATCCACACAGCTGCGCCCTTCCTGGGCTGTGGACAGGCCTGGTCAGCCACAGGACTGAAGAAGGGTTCAAGCAGGCTCGTGGACATAAGGCAGGGCCGGAGGAGCTCCGGGGACACTGTTCCAGCCTCCCAAGGAAGAAACGTCCAGCAGCCGCCCTCAGGGAGGGGAGGAGCCGAAGACCTTTCGGGGACGGGGCCTCCGTCCTGTGCCTCCATCCCTGAGGGGAGCCCAGAGCCCAGCCTGGCGTCTCAAAGAGCTGCGGTTGCCGCACCCCCGGCCGCTCCCACGGCTGTGACCCCGGGTGTCCTGAGCCGCCTCTGGGGATCCGCACGACCATCACACTGGCCAGTGCTGCCCAGACTCCTGGTGGGCGGCGGTGGCCGTCACTGACGCTGTCCGGGCGGGGCAGCCGCCCCGGGTGGCCACAGGAGCGCTCTGTCTCCCGTTTGTGAGAGAAACCCCGTGGGTGTTCCCGGAGCCCCAGGCCTCGTGTGGCCGCAGGAGACCCCCAGTGACCTGTCCTCTGCCGGGCCCTGGCCTTTGACTGCTGAGCCACAGGCCCTACCGCGGGGGTGTGCGCTGCTGCAGCCCTTGGTCGGCTTTTGGCCTTTGGGGCCGTCTGGCGGCTCTGCTCTCAGGGCCGGGCAGGTGGGCAGCAGTTTCGTCCTCCCATCCCGCCTGTTGCCCTGACTGCCTGTTTCACGACGGCAACTCTACGTGGCTGTGGGGAGGCGGGGGGGGGCGCATCTCCTCACCCTACTCATGGCACCAGGTGACACGGTTCGCCAGACACATTTTTCAAAGGACCATTTGGCACAAAGACTCAGAGAACCTGCTGCCAGCCCTGGTCACTCACGACCCCAAAAACCACATGCGCCCCCCTCGCCGCACTGCCCCGGATGCCCCCGCCCGCGAGGCCCACGGCACAGCCAGGACACAAGTGCAAGAAAAAACCCACAACGTGAAGCTTAGAAATCAAGTTAAGCTGAAAAGCTAAGCAAGGAAGGGGCAGGCACCAGCCGGGCGCCCGCGGAGGCCTGGTGTCCACCCGCCCACCCTGCCGGAGCCGGACGGAGGGCAGGGGCACCCTCCACGCCACTCCACTCCTGCGGGAGCGGGGCCACCGAAGGAAACATCTGGCAGAGCCACGCTCCGGGAGACGGGCGGCGAGGATGAGCCTGGCGCCCGCCCCAGCACCGCAAGGCCCCCGCGCCAGAAACAGCAGCTGACCCTCCCCAGCCGGCGCCCGGGGGCAGCCGGGCCCCCCCACTACCTGCCAGCCCTTGTCCGCCGTCCGGTAGTACGGGTAGTTCTTGGTGATGTGCGTGTAGATGCCGTTGAGGGTGAGCTGCTTGTCGGGCGCCATGGTGATGGCCTGCACGATCAGCTGCGCGTAGGAGTACGGCGGCTTCGAGTCGTCCTAGTTGACGCCACAAGAGAAAGGCAGGGGAGTCACCGAAGAGTCTGTCACCAGCGTCTCCGCGGGCGCATCCGCGAGGATGGTGTGTCTCTCGCTAGAGGAGCGACGCCACCTGATGGGGCCCCTGGACCCGCGACAGCAGCCCGAGCCGGGCTCACGCCACATGGGAAGGCCACATTGCCAGGACGGAAAAGCAGAGTCGCGCGGCCGCGAGTCGCAGCTCGGCCGTCAAGCGGGGTCAGAGGCCTGTGCCCAGACACGGGGTGCAGCGGGCGGGCGGCCAGGGGCTCATGGGCAAGCACAGTCACACGTGCCCGCCCTCACCCGGCAAAGGGTGTTGCGCCCGCACCGAGCTGGGCTCCAGGCTGGGGGGGTCCCTGCGTGGCAGGGAGACAGCTTGGCGCCCCATGTGCATGGCGGGGGCTGGGAACAAGCCCAGACCGAGGCCCAGCCCCGGATGCATGGGGGCGGCAGAGGCCCAGATGGCCCCACGGGGGTGAGGACACCAGCCATCCTGGCCGGGTCCCAGCACCCACAGCCACCTCCCGGAGACCCCGCACCCGGAGACCCTGGCTCCACACGGGAAGACAAGCTTGTGCTCGACAGGGACCCCCAGGCCAGCCCCGCAGCCACGCCGCACCCTGCCCAGAAGCTGGACTGGTCCATGCCCACGGAGCACTCACCTTCGGGCTGTCCCCGCCGGAAGTTTCCTTCTCATGCTCTGGCTGTGAGCTGTCAGCCATCAGGTTGAGGTCAGAGGGCACTGCCCGGCCCACTTTGTACCCTGAAGACCCCGCTCCCCGGGGGCTGGACGGGCAGGAGTTCGCAGCACTGTGGACAAGAAAGGGTCGACGCTGTCTGCCCGCCAGAGCAGACGGCCCTGCCCGATGCACGGCTGGCCCACGGACACGCGCCCAGAAGGGAAGGGGCTCGGTGCTGCCGTGGGCAGGGGCGCACGTCAGGCCAGCATGGAGCAGCGGGGGTCGCCTGCTGCGGCCCCAGAGATCCCTGGCGTGAGGACAGGCCACCACAGAGCAGGCGACTTCAGTGCGCCAGGGGCTCGGAGAGCCAGGGCAGGCGATGCAGAGCTCTAGAAGGCCCACACGGAGCCGGCTCTTGAGGTGAGAGAGGCTGCACTCAGAGCCCCTCTGGCCCCCAGCCACCCCTGCCTGGCTCGCTGGCCCCCGCTGCCCGCAGTGAGCTCACCCGCCGCCCGAGAGCCGCTCCGATGGGGGCTGACACCCCAGAGCCCGGCAGACCAGGCAGCCACCGAGGGGGGCCCTGCCTGAGGCGCCGTGTCTCCTGGGACCACATGACAAGCACGCCTGCCGCCATCACCTCACTTGGGCCAAAGTGGGCGCCAGCACATCACAGGAAATCGCCGCAAGATGGAAGAGCTCAGGCCTTGAGCCAGCGTGGTCGGGGAGCATCACGGCCCCTTCAACGCACGCTCAGGTCCAAAGAGGCCGTGAGCGGGCCCAGGAGCCGGGGGCAGGAGAGGGCGGGGCCTGGTGTACCTGATGGTTCCGGTCGGGGAGGGCAGGGGGCTGATGAGGTGGGCCATGGTGTCTGGAATGTTGATGGTCAGGGGCGAGATGTGGGCCTGCACGGGCTTCACCGGCGACTCGGGCGCCTCCTGCTTCTCCCTCTTCTCGCTGGACAGGGCGGTGAACGTGATCTTGATGTTTGTGCTCGGGAACCTGAAGGTGCACCTGCGGGGAGCCGCGAGTAGAGTCAGCGCTGCTGGCCGGCCCGGAGGCCGCACAGGGTGGGGGCGTTGGCGGGCAGGGGGCGGGGGAAGGGCAGAGCGCACCCTCGGAGCCTGCTGGTGCGGAAGCCCCGGGGCCCCGTCAGCCAAACGGCCACAGCCCAGGCCTTCGGGACCTAAACACCGACGGACCCAACGCAGCTCAGCCAGCCAGGGAAGCAGCAGACGCGGCCACGCTCAGACACGTTTGCGCGAGTTACCCGTTCTGGGGACGCGCAGACTCGTTCTAGATCCTGAGCAGATTCAAGCCAAACTCCAGCGCCCATCGGCACACATCGCCCTTGCTACGGACGCGGACCAAGCCCCCGGGGCCGTGAGCCAGACTGCTCGGGGGCCTCCCTGGGGGCGCGGGGGTCAGTCTCGGCATACGGAGCTGTCGGCAGCTGCTGCGGCCTGAGTCCATCCCCGGCTGGGGAGCAGCCCCCCGGGCGCAGCAGACCTCTCCCGTCTCCTGCTGCTCCCCTCAGCAGAGTTTTTGGTCCATCTGCCTGTTACGTTAGGCTCCCCGTTCTGTCTCTGGGGAGTCCTCACCCCCGCACCTCTGCCCTGCACCCCAGCTCTTGCATACATAATAAATCTTAAAAAAAAAAAAATTCAAAATCGCCCCTGACTCACAATCTGAGTCTCGAGGTGACCCCAGCTCGCCAGCACCGGGCTGTGAGGGCAGGAAGGAACAGCTCCCCTCCCCCACGCACCCCGCACCCGTCTGGCGCCTGACAGGGACGGCCCAGCACAGACCACCACATGCCCACCACGGGCACCTCTTCACGAGGATCTTCCCAAAGCGCGAGCTGGGGCGGGAGGGGCAGCCACTGGGGGCAGCCTCGTCCCCTCAGCCAGGCGCAGCGTCTCCGGAGGGAGAATGGGCGGCTCCTCTCCACCCCGGCGCCTCAGTGGGCTGTCACCCCCAGGAGCTCGCCCCGGGGCCGGCACCACAGGTGTGGCCGTCACGCCGGGGGGCACTGGGCGTGGGTCGGGGTGCCCAGGAGGACTCGCGGGGCGGGAAGGAGTCCCCGCACCGTCCGCTCAGCAATCCTGCCGCCGCGCCGGGGTCAGCTGTTACCGAGAAGAGCGTTTCAAAACACGACGACGGCACGTCAGAAGAGGACGGAATCAGGGAGTCCCGCACCCCCGGCCGGCCCGGGCCCCGCCTCCCCTCCCGTGGCCGAGACAGTCTCCACGGCGCCCACAGCAAGCGGCCCTCCCGTGCCACCCGCCCCAGGAAGGGGCCCTGGGCCGACGCCTCCCCCTAAGCCCACAGCCGCCGGGACCCACAGGCCCAGTCTGCGACGGGAGACCCAGTGACTCCCCGACAGACGCCACTCCGCGGGCCACGGCCCCGACTCCCCACCACACCGAGGGCCGGTGCTGGGGGCCACTGGGGGGCCTCCTGCTCTCGGGTGGGGGCAGACCTGACCACAGCTCGCCACCAGGGCCCTGCGCGCCTGGGGGTGACCGGCACAGGTGCGCCTCGCTGCTCCCCCTCACTCCGAACTCAGGCTGGGAAAGCACCAACGAACGCCCCTCGAGAGTTTCCGGCAAAGCGCCGCTCACAGCCCAGACACGCAACGAGGGCCTGCAGCCGCCCGGGAGCAGACAACCGAAGGACGGAGATGCCCAAGGCCAGGCCCGAGCGGGCACGCCTGAGGGCGGGCAGGGGTGCGGCTCAGAGCCAGCTGCCAAGCCGGGGGGAGGGGGCGGTTGGCACCGAAGGGCCCGTCCAACACCAGCTGTCACAAGCCGCGGGACAGCCGCTGCGGGCCCAACGTGCCGGGGGCGCAGCCCCTGCAGCAGCAACGCAGGGAGGCCAGGCCCCAGGGCGGGCGAGGCGGCCTCCAGGGCTACCACAGGTGACGCCGAATCTTCAGTTTCGCAGCAACACAGGCCAAGGCACAGGAACAAGCAGGAAAGCAGGACTCAGTCGGAGCAACCACCTGCGAGACAACCCCCCACCTTGCGTTTACTCCAGAAACAAAGGCGAGCACGGAGAGCCGACTCCGAAAGCCCGACGTGGAGGGACCCGCGAGTCCGACAAGAAGGTGGAAGCCCCAAGAGCCGGACAGGACCCCGGAGCCAACAGCTCGTGCGAGCAGAGACCCGCGCGGTGGCCCACTCTCCCCAGGTGCCTGAGGGCGGGGCGGCGTGCACAGAGGGGGCGGCGCCGGGGCCAGAGAGCACGGGCCCTGCACCCGATGAAGACACGAGCCGCGGGCCCGAGAGGCAGACACGAAGGGGCTCGGAGCATGACGGGAGGCGGCGCTGCAGCTCGGCGACGCCAACAGCGGCTCTCCTCAGTCTCCTCAGACCCCAGGCCGGGCCGGCGCTCACAGGGCCAGCGGCTATGTCCAGCAGAACTGCCCTTCATGAGGCCTCCCTGGGACCCGGGGTCAGCCTCAGGCTTTCCCCAAAGCCGTGGCCTGAGTGACCCCCAGGGCGCGGCAGACCCCGCCTGTCTCCCCGCTGCTCCCCTAGGCAGTGGGTTTCAGCGGATCCTCCTGCTCTGCTCCCCACTCTGTCTCTGGGGAGTCCTCTCAGCCCCCGCACCTCTGGCCTGCACCCCGAATGTACACAAAAATGAATAAAGTCTTCATTTAAAAAAACAACAAAAACGCGTCCTTCAAAGGGAAGGAGAAGCAAAGACATTCCAGCGAGCCAAAGCGGGGGGGGGGGGGGGGGGGGAGTCGGTTGACCGTCCGCCCGCGCCGCGGCAAAGGGGGGCCCGGCTGCAGGGAAACAGGCCGGGGCGGCGCTGCCTCAAGGGCACGTGGCTGCCGGGGAGCGGCGGCCCTGCAGGACTCCGGCCCCAGCGGCCCACACGACGCGGCGCGCGCTCCTCCCGGGGACGAGGACGTGGACACAGAAGCCGCCGGCCAGCAGGGACGAGGGGCCAGTGAAGCCCCGACCGCAAAGCGCCAGGGTCATCTGAGAGGACTGGTGAACGCCAAGCCCTCCCGTTCGGGACGCAGCAAAGGAGGCCCTGGAGGCAGAGGTGACGGGGAGCCCCCGACGACGTCGAGGTCGGAGAGGCGCAGGCGCCTCTGGGAAGCGCGGCCGGGGCAGGGACCACAGACGCGCAGACCTTGGGGAGGCGGCGCGAGAGCGAGGAGAGCCGAGCGCTGCCCCGGGCGCCCGTCCAGCCTTCTGCCCGCGGTCTGTGAGGGGACGGGCAGGGAGGGACGCGGCCCGGCAGGGCCCTCTGCAGGGGGCTGTCCTGCGGCCGCTGGCGGCCTCCCTGTCCCCGCCAGGCGCGGCCCCGGGGAGGCCCGGGCTCCAGCGGGCAGCAACGCCCCACGGGCCTTTGCGGCTGGGCACCCCAGCCGCCGAGCCGGCGGGGGCCGGGCTCCTCTGGGCCCCGGCCTTGGCCGCGGGGGGTGCAGGCGTCAGCTCCTCGCCGGGGCCGGGCCAGCCGAGCACTCAGCGGCTCGCTCCGCAGCCCAGAGGGAGCCGGGCGGAGACACGGGGGAGACGGGAGCGCCCAACGCACGCTGCTTTCGTTAAAAGCGTCCTAATTTTAGAAACCTTCTCTTCGTTTTCCAAAAAAAGCCCCGTCTGCTCAGCACAGCGCGGGCCACCCCTCAGGGGGCGGCCCGGTACCGCCCTACGGGCCTCGATGGCACTTGGGGGCCTGGACGGCACGGGGGCGGGGTCTCGACGGGACCCGGGGCGGGGAGGGGGGCTAAACCCAGAGCCGAACCTGCCCAGGGCGTCCGGGCCCAGCCACACTCGGGGCGGAGGTCGCAGCCAGCAGGTGCCGGGATCTGGGGCAAGTGACGGCGGCGCAGCCGTTCCCAGGGAGGCAGTGCCATCGGGGCTGGTCCCCCTTGCCGGACTGGGGGGGGTGGGGAGAGCCCTTGTTGCTCCTCCCCTGCCAGGGGACCTGCCCTTTCCTCCCTGGGGGCGCAGGATTAAGTGAAAGCTGTCGGCAGCCACCACAGCCCAAGTCCGATCCTGTCCAGGGAGTGACCCACAGAGCGCAGCAGACCTCTCCTGTCTCCCTGCTGCTCCCCACTGTCTCTGGGGAGTCCTCTCACCCCCGCACCTCTGGCCCGCACCCCAGATCTCGTCCGCATAGATAAATAAACCTTTAAACGTGAAGAACCGCAGCACAGGCGGAGCCAAGGGAGTCTCCCCAGTCAGAGCCGCGGGCGCCCCCCGGGCTAAGGCAGCACCCCAGGAGAGACGGTGGCCCGGGTCCGAGTACGTGCGGCGCGTCACCCCTCAACGGTTCAAACAGGAAAGCAGCAGGGGAGCCCCCGCCCTGCAGGGTCTGGCCACCACCGACACCACACATGGATGCCCAGGAAGCACCCAGGCGCCCCCCACGAGACTCTCCTCCCGGCGACACCCGTAGTGGTAGCAACAGCCCAGGCGCACACGTGTGCTCGCGCCTGCCGCCCCGGGGTCAGGACCCCCTCGGGCCGCCGGTCAGCAACAGGCAGGCAGCTGCTACCTGGGGGGGTCAAAAGTCCCGCCCGGATTTCTGGCTGCGTTGGGGGGTGGCTCGACAAGTTGGGTGGGCCCTCGGAAACCGCCAACCTCTTCACCGGGGAGGGCGGCCGCCCTCGCTTCCAAACCACCGCTGGGACATGTCGGCTTCCGACGGGGCCACCTGGACGACTCAGCCTGGCAGGCCCCCCTCACCCCCACGGGAAGGCCGTGGCGCCGATGACCCGGGCGCAAGCCCCGTCAGGAGGCCGCTGAGGGAGGGCTCCCCAGATGACCGGCCCCACGGACGGTGCCAGCTCCGGGAGGAGGGGTCAAGGCGCTGAGCAGCGGCCTGTGCGTGGGCCCCAGGCGAGGGCTAGCCTGGGGCGGGGGGTGCCGCGGGGACAACACAGACGCTGCCCAGTGTCCAGCGGGGCGCAGACCCGGAGCGTGCCGCCCGCTGTCCCACCCGCGGGGGCTGAGGCTCGGACCGGCGAGGCGGCAGGGCTGGACCCCCCGCCCTCCGCCACGGCGTGGCCAGGGCCGATTCTCAGGTGCGCCAGGCGGTCCAGCTGTCTTGAATCCGGACCGTCCTCAGCTGCTCGTCCAGTCAACGTCACGCTGAGTTTCGCCAGCGCGAGAACCGGCACCCTGGCGAGGCAGGAACTGGTCACCGGGTCAGTCTCGACTCGAAGGCTAGCGCCAGAGCAGCGGCCCGGACCCCATCCCCGGCGTGCACCGAGACCCCGGGCGGCCTGCCGGGGCGGCGCCTGCGTTGGCCCCAGAAAAGCGCTGAGGTCCCGCAGCCTCAAGGGGCAGGCGTGGCCCCCCCCTCGCCCCCCCGCCAGACCCGTGACCCCTCAGGGTGCCCAGTCCAGGCGGCGGGCTCACAAGCTGGTAGGTCTCGGGCCGGGAGACGAAGGGGTCCTGGCAGTCCTGGCACGGGTCAAGCGCCCCCCACCCCCACCGCAGGGCCCCACCCCCGGGGTCCGCTCCGCTCCCGCCCGCCTCTGGCCCCTCCCCTGGCACCGCAGCCTCCATTCCTCCCTCTTCCCGACACCCCAGGAACGCTGACACCGCACCCCACTCCCCAGCCTCCTCCCTCGGCCTCCAGAACCGCCTGACCCGCAAGCCCCAGCACAGACGCTGCAGACGCGCGGGGGCAGCGCCTTCCCCAGGCCGCCCCCTCCCGGGCACTGGGGTTCTCTGGGAACCTCCGCCCGCCCAGCCCCGTTTCCTGGTCACTTGCGTTCCTGCGTTCTTTCCCAGGCGACTCCCCGGAAAGCTCCAGAAGCCGGCCTGCCGGCCTCGCTCCAGCCTTCACCTCGGCGGCTGCCGTAGCTTTTAAGGAGAAAGTCTCCCGGGAGGATGCAGCCGCCCTCCCGGCGGATACAGCCTCGGCCGGACACCAGTGGCGCGTCCAGTCCCTCCGCCTGCTGCCGGGGGCCCCCCTCGCTGATCCCACCGCAGCCGGCGCGCGGCATCTCGGAGCAGGAGCAGGAGCAGCCGTCGGGGCTGCGCGCTCACCCACACACGCGCTCGGTGTGCTGCCATGGCGACGGGCCCAGCGCCCGCCGCCCTACTCGCGCCCTCAGGTACCAGGCTTCAGACAAAACCGGGGGTCGGCCTCGGACGGCACATTCTTCCTCCGTCGCCGGCCACGTGGACGCTCCCACCAGGCCCAGGCGGACCCCCCACGCTCACCAGCCCCAGGGTCCCTCTGCCAGAACTTCACCTGCTGCAGGACCAGCGCCACGCACCCGCCAGCCACAGCAGAGAACTGCCTCTGGGGGCCGGGTGACCCAGGGCTCACCCAGCGCGCCCCAGCCCCGGTGCCGGCGGCCGGCCAGTGCTCCCGGAGCGGGGTCCTCTCTGTACACGGCCCCAAAGGCTCAGCCGGATGCCACTGGCTTCCTGTAAAACCACACGCCCTGGCGCGCCTGTGAGACACACTCTGAGCAGGGCACGGGCCCGGGGCTTGCCAGCCACTGCGGACAGCGGACGCGTCCAGCGCCCACCCCGTGCCACGCGCAGACAGCAGCGGCGGCCCTCGCCTCCCTCCACCCCGCGCGGGCTCCCCACGTTATCCGGGCCCGAGTTCTCGCTAACTTCCCAGAGCGTGCCCGCCCGAGGCTGGCCCCGGGAGAAAGCCGCCGTCTCCGCTGGGCACAGCAGGACGCCAGCGTCTTCCTCGACAGGGACCTCCAAGCGGCGGGCGGCCCCGAAGCCCCCGCACGAGCGCCCTGAGCGGCAGGGGCCTCGGGCTCGCAGGGGCTGGGCTTCCAGCTCGGGAAGAACTTGCAACGCAACGGCTCAACGTCCAGAAAGGGATCTTTAGAGCAACGGCGCCCGCGCTTACCCCACACGAGCCGTCCCCACAGCTCACCCGCTGCGCGGACCGCCAGCCGCCCAGTCGGAAGCGACCCTCGCGGGATGGGAGGAGCCGCGGCCGCCCCCGCAGAACAAGCAAAGCCCCCCACGGGCCCCCGCAGCCCAGGCTGCCCTCTGCGCGCCCGCTGCCAGCTCGTGGCCCGCCGCTCCTCTGCTCCGCGGGCCCCCCAGAGCCCAGCTCCGCTCCCGCGGCAGGCGCGAACGGAAGGCCGGCGACCCCACGTCGGCACCAGGGGCGTCGGCGGGACGGCAGCAGGACGGTTTTCTGTGACGCCTCGACACGCGGCCCGGGCTGTGACGTCACCAGGCCGCTCGCGCAGGACCAACCTGCCGGCCGGGAGGCCGCTCGGGCCGAGCCCTGATGCCGTGTGCGCGCTACAGACAGCGGCCCCGTCCCGTCATCAGGGCGCCGGTCAGCTCTCGGGGCGCGGCGCGGCGCAAGCACCCGGGAGGAAGCCAGCGGCGGCTCCAGGGACGTCCCTCTGCCCACAGCAGCGGCCATCCCAGCGGGCAGCCAGGGCAGGGCTCTCCCGGGGCGCCGAGGAGGGAGCCGCGGCCCGCCCCGCCCCTCCTGGGAGCGAGAACATCGTCCAGGCAGGCAGGGCCCCTCCTCGGGCCCGGACCGCTTGCCCGCGAGGCCCGACCGGACACCTCGCTTCCACGCTCGCCCGGCCTCTGAGAGTCGCGTCAGAATGATCCAGTTCCCCCAAAACGCGGACGGCCCGGAGCCCAGATCTGAAAGCTCACCACGCGTGGTGGAGTCGGCCCTGTCTAGGCTAGAGGGGACACCGCGGGGAAAGCCCTTTCCGCCTGAAAACCCCTCGAGGTGCCCCGCCGGTGCAGACAACGGAGAAGGGCGCGCCAGA